TTTTGACTGGAGTCGTGCGCACGTGGCAGTCCAACGTGGCAAGGCGGGCTGAGTCAGCATAGTCGCGCCTGGTTTATAGACTTGACCCAGAAAAATTTCCCCTCCCTCCCTTTCTCTCTCTCCCTCCCAAAAATTTCCCCTTCTCTCGAAAACCCTAGCTAGCACAGGCGATCTCGTTGGCGACTCCTGCACGGCGGCGAGGGTGGTGCGCTCCAAAGCAGGTGGGTGTCGTGGTCAGAGGCGACGGGGCCGGAGATCTCCACCACGGACGCGGCGGCGACGGTCTGCAGTACGGCCACCTCGACCTCGTTGGCATGATGACGAGCTCAGGTACGTCCCGGGGCTCAAGGTCGTCTTCTTGGGCTGGAGGTCGTGAACGAGGAAGGATGCAGCCGCCAGTACCATATAGGGAGGGGCCTCTCGATTATGAGCCGCCAGTGCGGCTAGGTGGATTTCGTGGAGTCCCAGTAACCCCGGGAGAAGATATTTCACATGCTACAATGCGCGTGTGAGTAAATTTGTATTTATTTTTGATTTGGCTCATTTGTTTGGTTTCAAACTCATTCGATCTTGGATTATACATTTATTTGTGTAGTCTGGTTGGTTGCGATTTTTGGGAGTGGCATGACCCTGAGTCAGATCCATATTGGAAGCAATTCCTGCTTGATTTGAGGAATGCTGTGTGGACTGTAAGAGAAAAAATCAATGGGCTAAAGGCTCATCTCCAGGACAGCAGGAATGAAGCCTTGAAGAACAGGTACAGTTGGGACAAGCTTCTATATTGCAGTGCAAAATAGAACAGTGAAATGGAAATACAAAGAAATAAGAGCACTAGTTATAGTTGGTGGAGCATCTGGCTGAACAACTTTCGTACAGCCTGCTAGGAATCCCTGTTTGCAAGCAGCCAGGCAAATATATATCCTTTTGAATATAGGACTAGGCTGGTCAGTATCTAACTTGACAACAACTGTACTCCCAGGATTACTCCTCAGCAACTCTAACTGATAGTCAAAGATTCTAAAGTATTCACCCCTGGTGGACTCATATATCTTCCTGAATACAAATGCTTTGGCTCTCTTGCACTGCCCAACACTAACATTTGCAAACATTTCCTCTGAAACAGTGGACTGCATGCTCTGTATACTCCAAGTTGGATTATCTGTGATCATCTTCTCATACTTCTGAGCAATCCTCTTGTATGTCACTAGGTGGTTATCCTTCCTTGGTGGGCAGGTGTGTTCATCAACTAGACTAGCTATTTGCCAGCTTTCTGTCCTGCTATTCTTTGATAGCAAACAAGCCCACGGGCAAGTTGCCAAATCACACTTGGCCCTTGTTCTGTAACCTTCATCCTTTATAAACCTTATGAACCTCTTGCTGTCCAGTGCAAGCTGCACCACTGCCTCTTTGAATTCTTTCTTGCCATCAAATTTCATTCCTAGTGCAAGCCTAGCAATTGGCCTATTCACATTAAATCTGGGGGTATTTGGACTTCTTTCTGACCAGCTGTCCATCACTATCCTCTTCATAGGAATCATCATCTGCACTGCTATTGTCATATGGGCTAGCACTGTCATCACCCTCAATCTGAACCAAAGCTCTACTATTTGTCTGCCTAGATGACCCCTCACATATAACATCATCCAAATTCCCTACCTCACCATCCTTCAGTTTCTTCTTGAACTCTTTGTAAGCCTTCCTGATTTGCTGAACCTCTTCATCTTCTTCTGATGAACATGAGTCTCCACCAACATAATCACTGTCAGAGTCAGAAATCACAGGTTTCTTCGGCCTCTCTTTACCTACTACCACTGCCTTCCCCTTATCACTAGGTTCAGCTACTACCATTGCTTTTTCTTTATCAGGTGTACGAAATGCTCGCACTTGTTCCAGATCTCTCTTTGTCTTCTCTGGTGTAGACACTATGACAAGAACTTCCTTCCCTATATTCAACTCAAACAAATCCTCATCTTCCTCATCATCCCATTCATCATCTGCAGGAGATATGTCCTGCAGTTCATCTTCAAAGTCACTATCCTCCTTGCTGCCAGACTCACTGGACCCCTCTGCCATTACTGTCTCCACATAAATATCAGCAACACCACCTTCCCCAACACAGTTTGACATATAATTGTAGACCTCATCATCAATCAAAACCCTCAGCCCATCTGCAAGTTCTTTGCCAGGAAACAACCATTGCAGAAGCATGCCAGGGATCACTTCACAATGATCTTTCAAATGTCCAACTATCTCAGGCAGAGAGACCTTATCACGTTTGATGTAGGACATCCCCTCAGATCCACCAATATAAAAGGTTTCCCTCCCATTGTTAATGAAATCCCCACCAAAGTGAAATCTAACAGGTAAATACTCTAGAGGATCCATTCTTAACCTAAAAACAACATAGTAATGGCAGTACACAATCAATCCTTTTGCCTAAATCAATTACAAAAATCAAAGGAAAACAAACTCTCACACATCCAACTGATTCCATATGCCCTAGTAAAAAAATCCTACACTTTTCTAGGATCTACATCACATACCTGCAAAGCCTAGCTGCGTCGCTCTTACTTCATCCTCCTCGACAAGCAGCTGGTGCTGGCCGATGTGGAGAGCGTGGCCGCCACGACCGTGCCGCAGAGATCCCTCCTCGTCGCCTTTGAGCGTGCCACCCTCGTTGCCTTGGGCGCAGCTCACTCGCCGGCGTGGAGTGCGCCGCCCATCCTCACCGGAGTCGCCGACGAGATCGCCTGTGCTAGCTAGGGTTTTCGAGAGAAGGGAAAATTTTTGGGAGGGAGGGGAAATTTTTCTGGGTCAAGTATATAAACCAGGCGCGACTATGCTGACTCAGCCCGCCTTGCCACGTTGGACTGCCACGTGCGCACGACTCCGGTCAAAACCGCCCCAATGCGTGCTTAACTATTCGGTTTTAATAGTTCGGGGTACGAAATGACCGGTTTTCGAGTTCGGGGGGTTTTTCGGTCAACCGCAATAGTACAGGGGTAAAACGTACTTTTTCGTTTTTTTAATAGGTGCATATTTTTTAAAAGAACCGACACCTATTTTTATATTATAGGTGTAGGTTTTTTTTTCCTAAAATTGACACCTCTAGTGTTTAAAGGAAGGTGTCGGTTCTGTATATTTTTCATCGTGTGGAGGTGGGAAAAGATCTATAGGTGCCGGTTGGTACCTATATGGCCGGTCCTTATGAGAATTTTTGTAATAGTGAGTTTGCAAAAGTAGTGTACTGAGTACTGTACGTACGTAAAATAATGTCTAATCAAGGCCGTATACGAAGATCTGGACGGTTAGTTTGATCAGTTTTTCTCGGCCAAGAGCAGCAACGGAGCAACCAAACCTGACTTAGTCGCAAACGGATAAATAATCTCATAAATTTATAACGTACGATCGGTGCATGGTCTTGCTCGTCTAACGAACTCCTCGTCCCTGCTACTGCAAATCATCGAAACTCCAGTTGAAAATTAGTTGGGCTTGCACACAAGTGCTGTCCTAACATATGCATCAGCTGGACCACCTCCACTGGCCATAAAGCTCACAATGGAAAATCTTGCACCTGTTTTAATTAGCTATGATCCACCATAGTATGTATATGGTCCATACATGCATGCAAGGGCACATAATTAGCTTAATTAATTAGCTAGTCCTTTTCCTGTGCCTCAAAAAGTGACAAAACATTTCTTATGTGCGGCTCTAGCTAGCTAAGGTAAGTGGACCCATCAAGTTCGAGATGATGAAAATGCATGCATGTTTGTAGAATGAGGCTGATTTGTGAAGGTTTAGGTGGTGTTTAGATTCAGGGACCAGTCCTGTTACATCAGATGTTTGACACTAATTTGAAGTATTAAACATAGACTACTTACGAAACTAATTGCATAAATGAAAGATAATTCGTGAGACAAATTTTTAAGCCTAATTAATTTATAATTAATACATGTTTACTGTAGCATCACATAAGCTAATCATGGATTAATTAGGTTCAATAGATTCGTCTCGCAAATTAGGCCAGAGTTATGAAATGAGTTTTATCAATAGTCTACGTTTAATACTTGTAATTAGTGTCAAACATCCGATATGATAGGGACTAAGAATTTTAGTGCCATCCAAACAACCCCTTAGTTTGCATGTTCCAAGATATACTTTGATGATCATCGACATGCATGTGGGTGTAAATTGGATTTGGATTTGTCTTATTGATGCTCTACCATATCAGGAAAGTAGTCTTAGACATTATAAATAGACGTGACATTTTTCATAAAATAGGGGGATACACTGTGATACGGGTACAAATTAAACTATACAAATACAACAAGACACTAGCTTATTTCCATCCAAAGTCATGTATATAAAGCTTGTTTCGGTTAGAGGAAAATTGTTTTTTTACTGTTTAATCTGCAGATTGAATATTGCAATCAGAAGGATGAAAAAAAATTAAAATTGGTGCGTCACACGAAGTTGCTAAAATTACAGACATGGCATGTTCTAGATCAAAATTGTTGTAAGATTCCCATTGGCCCAATTTGCCTTACCCACAAACTGAATTCCCTTTCCGGCATCTTTGTCTAGCAGGGGTACCGAGTGCCGAGTACAACCTAAACGACCAAACCGTTGCAAGCCCTGCTCTGAATCGATCATCTCCATGACTCCTTTCTGGTGTTTTGGAAAGCAAAGTCTTGCACCTTACCTCTTTCTGTCTTCAGTCCACCCGGGGTCAAATTGTAGATGCCTCTCTGCTTCCGTTTCTTGGGTAACTGTTCAGCACTCCCAAGTTCCAACTCCAAGTGATCATGATAGCAAAAGAAAAGGGGTAAATAATAAGGAAAAGAAAAAAACAAGACGCACAACAACGCAAACGTATACAGATCACATGTACACTTTCTGCATTTCTTAAACAAAAACAGTACAAAGAACATTCCATTATTCCATATACCTTCGAGCATGCTTGCCATATAAAGGTGCCATGTCTGAGTCATCCTACCAAAGTAGTCCCAAGGCAAACCCAATCAACCCGACCTAACTAACGCCCTCCGTCTTATCATAGCCGTCCATTGCCACGATCGGGCGGCCGCGCGCGTAGTCACCGACCTTTTCGTAACAATTCAGTTACAATGTAGTACTAGTACAAGTCTATTGTAGCACAGCTTCACGTTGCCGAAGCAGAGGTTGCGGTGCGGTGCCGCCGGTGCGGCTGTCACGTATATGCGCGCAGCGCGCAGACGATCGATTCGTCTGCGCATACGAGCTGACGCCCACTACTAAAAACCCACGGAAACAACGCCACGCGCGGCGTGAGATAGATCGATTCGTTCGATCGAGGCGCGGGACTCGCCCGGTGGATCGCGTTGCGTACGAGCGTACGAGGGAGACCGACGCTGCAGCGCACGTACACACGGGACGCGACGAGACGCTGCAGCGCAGCGCAGCCTCGCGCGCGCACGGCGAGGGGAAGAAACACGCACGCGGGGGCTGGATCGCGCGCTGGCTGGCTGGGGGGAAGCGGCGGTTGGCGAGCAGAGCAGAGTGAGTTCCCGTTTCTTTCTTTGTGTTCCCGGGCTTTTCTCCCATTCATCCACGCGCCACCACGCGGATCCTATTCTTAGGCTCCCGCGGCCGGACCTAACCGGGGCGGTTAAGCGAGGGCCGCACGTTCGCGGGAGGCAGGCTATGGCCACGGCCGCGACGACGACGTCGTCCACGGCAACCACCACCACCACCACCTGCTCGTCACCGTCGTCGACCACCAGCCCCATCCACCCGGCCGTCCCGCACCGGCGGCGCCTCAACGACATCGAGCGCGTCGACTACGCGCACGGCGCCGCGGCCGACGACTGCGCGGCCTGCGGCGGCGTCGCGCCCGACGCCGCCCTCGCGGACGACGACGAGTGCGGCCACGGGCACCCCGTCGTCGGGGCCGTCACGCCCTGCGGCGGCGGCGGGAGGGCGGCGCTGCTGTTGGCGCGGAGGAAGCGCGCGTGGGTCGTCGGGGCGGGCGGGCAGGCGTGGATGAGGGGCGTCGTGCTGTGCCTGCTCGGCCTCGTCGCGGTCGTCGGGTTCTTGGGATCGCACCGGCGAGGCGGAAGCGGCGGCGGTGGCGGTGGCGCAGGCTCTGGCGCCGTTGGCGGCGGCGGCGGCGACGACGGCGGGAGGCTCGTCAAGAAGGTGGAGGTGGCCGACGCCGACGTGATGGGGTGGACGGAGGAGAACCTGACGGCTCTCACGCGCCGCCCGCCCGACCCGCCGGTGCGTACGTGCACTCGCCGTTAATCACTCGATCAACTCTTACTTCACTTGATCGACACTCTTTTATTACCAAGATCATTTAGTCGGTAATAACTACTCCGACATAATCACACCTGCTCTTGGTTTTACTCTGGGAATTCAATGAACTCTCTGAAGTGTGTTTCTTTTCTGATCAAATGGGACTAATGTTCTAATCTAAAAGCATTTTTTAGTCAATGTCTAATCAAAACCATTTTTTTTTGTTACAAAACATTGGTCCAAAGGGAAAAAAAAGAAGAAAAAGAAGATACAGAGGTGTGCTTGCATCTAGGCCAGCTGAGGATTGAGTATATGAGAGAAAGGATGGATGATAACGACAAGGATATTTGCTTGTATTTGTTGCTAGCGTGATTCATTGGCATAAAAAAAAGGGAGGCAGAGACTATATGACATTATGACGTTAGTTTCAGAGTCTAGAAACAAAGCATCCCATTTAAGGCATTTATCTCTCGACTGCTTTTGTGCAAATGATTTCCTTGTTCTTTCCGCTGTTTATTTGTCTCTGCAAATAAGACGCATCGCTTTAGTTCTTTTTTTTCTGGTCGCTGTTGGGCAATTGCGGCCTCGCAAGCTAGTAGTCACTCGTAATGAGATGTTAGGACCTGACTGACCTGCGGTTGGTGCCGTTGAGGTTGCTTTCACTTGTAATTGTCAAGTGATGCATTTCAAGGTGTGAAAAAGGTTTTAGTGCATAAACAGAAAGAGTTTTGCTGGTAAAATATTAATCAATATCACATTTCTGTTCTCTAAACTAATGTTAAGTTTTATTGCACAACTGAGTTTAATTGACTAAAAAGGGACGTAATTTTCCATCAGACAGCTTAATATTGTAATGCTCTTCTTTTGGGGTTTGTGATTGATAGACTTCGTAAGATTCATATTTACCCAATCGGCGGTTCTCTTAGGCGATCGTTTTGAGTCAGAATATATATTGAGAAACCCTTCCTTACCTGGTAGTGGTAGGGACATCAAGATTTATGGCTGTATAGGTTTAGGACAGAGCTGGCAGAGACTGTCCGAAAGCAATATTGTGCTTATGTTCAGACAAGAAATTTCATTCACGAAAGCAAGACATCCATTCAAATGCCGTGCTGTGCGGCCTGAATTTACTCGAGTTTCCTTTATAACATCGACAGATACCTGAGATATGGATGAAGCCAGACAGTGAGGGTTATAGCCAATGCATTGAACGCCCAAAGAACCAGCGCAGTAATTTCCCTCTCTATATCTTTCACTTCAATCTGTTCCAGCTCCAGTTCCATGCTCATGTTCTCTAGTTGGGTGCTCTTATTGCAGGGACTAACAATGCAACTGTCGGTTATCTAATTGTTGATGCAAACGGGGGGCTAAATCAGATGAGAATGGGTGTACGTATCTATTTAAACGGTTTAACATGCAACGCTTTTCAGCTAACCCATACTCCTTCGAAATTATTCTTACAGATAAGTGATATGGTTGCAGTGGCAAAGATCATGAATGCATCACTAGTAATTCCCACTCTAGATCATCAGTCATTCTGGACTGATCCAAGGTCTGTACCTTTTCTACTCAAGGATCATCCCTCATGCCCTTATAAAACATCAAGTAAACTGACCATAAGTCCTTGAATATAGTGATTTCAAAGATATATTCAATGTTGAGCACTTCAAGGAAATATTAAAGGAAGATATTGTAATCGTGGATTCCCTTCCACCAACTTACAAAAGGGTGAAACCCTATATGAGAGCACCTACCTCCTGGTCCAGGGTAGGTGTTCAAAAACATTTGTTCCTGCAATTGCATAGCTTAGAAATTCAGGAAATATGAGCAAGCTAATGAATTGATAGCTCCATTTTGCAGGCTTCCTATTACAGAGATTTTTCAAGGATACTAAGGAAGTACAAAGTAGTGAGGTTTACTCACACAGATTCACGTATAGTCAATAATGGTCTTGCTCCTTCCCTCCAACGTCTCCGTTGTCGTGCAAATTACAAAGCACTTCAATATAGGAAGGAGATAGAGGAGCTCGGTCGCACCCTGGTAGATAGACTGAGAAATGGAATGGATCATTATATTGCACTTCATTTAAGGTATTGAAAATTCAAAACATTCAGAGACCACCTTACTTCATTTCCTGCAAAGAAACCGTTTACAGATCAGCAATCTTCCATTTTGCTTTGTTGATTGATTTACAGATATGAGAAAGACATGCTGTCCTTCACTGGTTGCAATCACAACCTGACAGTACATGAGGCAGATGAACTGACGGACATGCGACTCAAAGTGAGACACTGGAAGGAGAAGGAGATCAACAGTGAGGAGAAGCGACTCCAAGGCGGTTGTCCCATGACTCCTCGTGAAGCTGCTGTCTTCCTCAAAGCTATGGGGTATCCTTCCACCACAAAGATATACATTGTGGCTGGTGAAATATACGGCGCACATAGCATGGATGCATTAAAACTTGAATACCCGAACATCTACACACACTACAGTCTAGCCACAGCAGATGAATTAGAACCTCTTGAGTTGTATCAGAACAGGCTAGCTGCTGTGGATTATATAGTAGCTCTTCAGAGTGATGTTTTTGTATATACATATGACGGAAATATGGCCAGAGCGGTGCAGGGTCACAGAAGATTTGAAGGATTCCGGAAAACTATAAACCCTGATAGGTATGTACCTTCATACAGGTCAAGTTTTTTTTTCTGGTTTTCAACTTACAATATATATATTTTTATCTGTAGGCTGAAGTTTGTAGAGCTCATTGATAAGCTGGATGAAGGTTCCATGGACTGGAATGAATTCCAAAGTGAAGTGAAGAAGCATCATGAAAACAGACTTGGAGGTCCATATGACAGATTACCTGGTGAAAGTCCAAGGCAAGAGGAATACTTCTATTCAAATCCTATCCCTGGGTGCCTCTGCAGAAAGGTACAAAAGACTAGGTAAAATAGATTAATCTCAAAGGGAGATGATTCAGTCTTCAAAAAGACATGAATTGTACAGTCTTCAAAGGAAAATAGTTTCGCAGCTGCATTAAGGATGGAGATGACACTTCCTCACAAGTCACAGATTGCATCAAAGTGGAAGTCCTAGTAAACTGACAGAGACCGGTCATTTTGATTATTTATCCTAGACTGACAACACTCGTAGTTCAGGGCGTGGGGCCAAGAAGTGCTGCATTTTCAAAGAAATGTTCATCCAAGGAAGGAAGATGAGATTCTGAAGTAGTTGAAGAATTAAATGTATCATCGATTATAGGAACAGCCAGAAGGAAAACTCTTCATGGAGGCTGATTGTAGTTAGTCCATACACACTTCCCCTGTTCTTGACGTTATCTGATTCGTTGTAGTGGGCATCTTACATCTGGATGGATTCATAACAGTAATGGAACAAACCACACTATCAGTATAGAATGACAGACAAATATTTCAGTAGCTTAGGTCAGATCAATAATTCTTTGTAATCTAGCAATGTGCCAATGTCATGCACATCAGATTAGCTTCTTGTAAAAGTATGTTCTTTGTTGCAGTGGCATCTGCATCTGCACTATCCTCTAGGAGGAATCAATGTGAGTTTCAGAAACAAATTAGAAACAAAGAAATGCATGAAAACAAAAGGAAAACCGTCTAAGGAAGGTGGCTTCACCCCATGAGACGTTTACCGAGGCAGGAGGCAGTGTCGAGGCGGAAGTCGAAGACGGCGGAGAGGAGGCCTCAGACGCAGAGGAATCGGGACGAGCGGAGGTGGTCGGGGGATGCGAGTGTGCCATGACGGGCCTGAGCGAGCTCAGCGAGCAGTCGGAATCCGGCACTGACCACGGCCACGACGCGGCGGCGGGGTTCGGACGAGGCGAGGAATACAAACCTGCCGGAATCGGGTACCCCACTCGGCCACTCCCCGGAAGAGTAGCGGGAGAGCCGGCGGCGATCCGGCGGCGGCGCGGGGCGCTTCTCCGACACACACGGAGACCGGCAGCCGGAGAGGCCCTTCTCCTTCCGAAAGACACGGGCCGCGCGTCAGCCAAAGTCCAGTTCCAGCCCAATTAACAGATTTAACACAGACCGCACGTCATCCGCAGCCCCATTACGGCCCAACCAATATTGGGCCTCATCAAACATAATACTCTTTGGAATAAGTTCATCTTGGGTCCCTTCATTTTACACCGAATCTCAAAACCAGATACAACCGGTCCCTGAACTAACCGGTGCAAACGAGATCTCTCGGCATTTTGGATTTTGGAAGGCGGTTTTGTCTGACGTGGCACCTTCGTGGTTGGTTTGACTAGGTCTCCGTTCCACGTGGCATTGACATGGCGCTTACGTGGCAATTATATCTCGGAAAAATAACAAAAACCATGGGCCCACATGTCAGCTACACACAAAAAAAATTTAAAAAATTGTGAGGCCCACGTGGGCCCCACATGTCATATCCTCCCCTCACTCAACTTTCCCTCTTCTTCCTCATCGCGCCGCGGCGCCACCTCACAGTCATTGTCTAAGTCCTCACCGCCTCCGATGACAACAACGGCCGAAGCATGCCGGCGGCAGGCCGCAGGCGGCAGAGGTGGCCAAAGAAGGAAGAGGCAGAGAAGGTCGCCGGCCAGCGCGGCAGTTGTGGCGGGTTATCTCCTCCCACCGCCGTTGGTCGCTCGTCGCTCTTATTGCTGAGGTCGGGCGAGGATTTTCTCGATGCCGGGGAGGGGTCGGCAGCGGCAAGCCGCGGGCCGCGGGCCGCGGGCGGCGGAGGTGGCTGGAGGAGGAGGAGGCAAAGAAGGAGGTTGCTGGCGAGCGCGACAGCTGTGGCGGGTTATCTCCTCCCGCCGCTGCTCGCCGCTCATCGCTCTTGTTGACGAGGTCGGGCGAGGATTTTCTAGATGCCGGGGAGGGATCGGTAGTTAGGAGGATGGGGGGTCGGCAGCGGTGGTAGAGGGGTAGAGATGGCGGCATCGTTGCCAAGAACGACCTCCACCGCTCCAACCCGGCTGACACCCACCGAAAATAGAGCTCCTCGCCGGGGATGGCCAGGCACCGTGGGTGGGGGTTCGATGGTGACGGGCGAAGGGAGAGGTGCGCAACGGCCGAGCGTGTCCTCACCGCCGGGATCCAAGGCCGCCGTCGCCAGTCCCCCGGACGACCTCGATTCCCGCGAGCTATCCGCCTGCCCGCCGCCCCGTTGTCGTCACGCGCCGCCGCTCGCCACTGCTCCTTGCAGACTGCAGAGCAAGGGAGAGATAGATGGGGGATAGAGAGAAGAGAGAGGAGTAAGGATGACATGTGGGGCCGACGTGGGTCCCGCCATTTTTTATTATTTTATGTGTGAAACTGATATGTGGGTCCCACGGGTTTTTATTTTTTAATCAAATTGCCACATAAGCGCCATGTCAATGCCACGTGGGACGAAGATCTAGTCAAAGGAGCCACGTAGCACAACGTCAGCCAGAACCGGGAACAATATTGTCCGAGGGACCTCGTTTGTACGGTTTTGTAAGTTAAAGGATGCATTGTACCCGATTTTGCACTGAAGGGACGAATTTTGGACTCGGCAACAAACTGAGGGACGTAAGGTGAACTTATTCCATATCTTTAGTTGGTCTCTGTTCTGTAAATTGGCATATTTCTTGTTCTTTTGTTTGCTTGATCTTTTTTTTTAAAAAAATTAGTTAATACTTAATTAATCATGTAATAATATGAGCTTCGTTTTGTATGCCGGGGAGAAGGGTTGCCAACCCCTCCTTCCGAACACTACAATTCCTAGTTCTGTACAATGCATATGGAACTCTTGAGGCTTATTTCCAACGTTATCGAAGTGCTTGCTCTTAATTGCCCATCCTGAGGAACATTTTGCACAAAGTTATTTTGACTGTATTTTACGAATTTTGGTCTTTTCCTCGGTGAAATTTGTTTGAGCATACACGAGCCACTGACCAGAGCGGAGCATGACAAATACGGGCGTCGAAATGCCGATTGCATCCTTCATCTGGATCTGGATTGGCCCATTATGTCTCTATAAGCTTATTTGGGCCCATAAATTTCACTCAAAAGGAATAAGTCCATTTTACCTCCCACATCTCTTGCCCTTCGTCGAATAACATCCCTCAACTAAATAATTTTTTTAAAAACCGGTGCAAATCAACTCCACATGTGGTTCTGTAAGTGGTTTATGCTGATGTGGCAGCCAGGTCATCAAAGCGATTGAAATAGAAGTGGGTCCCACATGTAAGTGACAAATGCTAAAATAAAAAAGTGGTGGGGTCCACTTGTCAGCCCTATTTTTTCTTATCTTCTTCTTCCCATGTCCCTTCTATCTCTTTCTCGTAGCCGCACGCGCGGAGGCTGATTCGGCCAGCCGATGGCGGTGAACGTTAGTCGGGGGTGGCCTCGGAGGGCTTGAAGACGTGACTCATCTACTCCTACCCCCCGTGTCACCAGGGAGGGGGTGTAAGAGATGGCTTCATGCTAACCTTCCTGAAGGCGGCGAAGACGAACTAGGCGAGGCTCTTGAGCAGCGTGCCCGGTGGCAGTGGCGCCCTTCTCATCCCAGCGAGCTCCTCCTCTGCGCTCGGTGGGCCGCAACCACCCGATGAGCTCCCCGGCGGCTGGCCGGCCGTGGCCTCCCGATGAGCTCCTCTCCCGCGTCCGGCCGGCTGCGGCATCCCGGCGAGCCCCTCCCCCGCGCCTGGCCCGCCGCGCCCTCCCGACGAGCTCCTCCCCAACACCCGCCGCCGCCGCTCGAGCCGATGGAAGGCGTGAGGCTGTAAGATATGAGGAGATGAAAGAGAGATGGGAGGGGTGATAGGTGGCCCCACGTGGGTCCCACCTATTCTTTTTATTGTGAATGCCATCTAGATGCCACGTGGGATGAAGAATTAGTCAATGTGCCATGTGGATGCCACATAAGCTATAACTGGACTCAATACTGTCTTGGGGGTCGATTTGCACCGGTTTTCGGAGATGAGGTAGTCGTTATACCTGGTTTATCTACCCTATAGTTCAACAAATGCTTTTACTCATTCATCATTCATCATGTCACACATCCAATGGCCCAAAATCAACAGAGGAGGTAGATCCGACCGCCCAGCGCATCTCTCGCATCTCCCACCACACAGAGCCGCATCTCCTCTCCTCGCGCTCTCTCCGCATCCTCCACCATCAGCGCCGCATCTCCTCCTCGGCGTCCTAGCGCTCTCTCGCCCCCTCGCCGCCGTGCGCCTCCCCCTCGCTCCCTCGCCGCCGTGCGCCGGATTTTTCATTGAATCGACGCGCTCCTTCTCCGGACTAGGGAGGGGAGGCGCGGCGATGGGCGCCGGCGCGGCGATGTGGGGGAGGCGCGACGAGGGAGGGGTGGCGCGGCGATTTTTCGCAATACGGAGGGGCGCGCGGTGCGATGGTGGTGCGGACTACGGAGGAGGGTCGCGCCTCCCCCACATCGCCGCGCCGGCGCCCACCGCTCTCCACCGCGTCTCCGCCGCCCATCGCTCTCCACCGCGCCGCCATTGCGCCTACGCCCTCCCTCTCTTTCAGGTCGCCTCCCCCGCCGATTACCTCGCGATTCCCAACCCTAACCCCCGCCGCCGGCGCGTAGCGCCGCCGCCGCCCCTGCTGCCCAGGATCCCCCCGCCTTTTCTCCTTCCGCCCACCTGCCACCGACGCCGCCACCCCTGGCAGTGACTCCTCCTCCCCGCCGCCAACGCCACCGCCGTCGACGCCTACTCCTGTGGCAGTGTGGAGGACTGCTGCTTCCCTGTCTCCATCAGGTGTGTGCACGATTTGTGTTTGTTAAAATGCTTATGTGAAAAAGCTGTGGGTATACAATGATATGCTGCAGATTATCTTTTCCTGTTATAGGTTGATCAATAATGGTTTCCTTAATTCAACTTTCATATTGCTGAATCTTTTGGTCTACATTGATAGCTGATGCATTGGGGTGTGATTATACAAATGATTTCTGTTGGTAATGATTTTTCCCTACCTTGCAGACAGAGGAATACCGGACAGTTTTTTTTCTTTCTTTTCTTCTGTTGGGGTGGGTTCATTTCAGAAATACCCAATTTGTTAGGTTGACCACATGTCCCCATTTTGATCTGCAAGGTCACAGACAATTCTCTTGTAATGTGTATGTGCATTGTTTGTCAGAAACCTGTCGAATGGGAGGCACCATCATAATTATATGATCTAATAATATGAAGTAACCATCAACTGATCTGAGTGTGGAGGTAATTTCTAACCCTCACCTCTGATGTTTGATGAATTTCATTTTCTCGTATATACTTTGTTTGACCAGATTTCCTGCTATGTAAATACACATATATGATTGTGTACATACTAGCTAGATCTTTCCTCTTAGAGCATGGACAATATAATGGTTCAGGCGACTATTATCTACATAATCTAGACCACACAATAGAATATTTTAAGCAGATTTTTCATAAGTGCCAACCACTGCCTATGTTTTGCTATTAATATATAGTATAGTTCCTTTCGAGAATTTGCACAAAGTCTATAGAAAATCAGAATATAAGTGCGACCACGGCCTTCCTGAAAGTTAGAAAAATCTTCTCAAGCATATAGCATATAGTCTGATGGTCATTTCATAAAAATCTCTTGATATGATTTTATAAGTGAACATACCAAATTAGTTTGAATGTACATTGTTCGTTTTCACGGGATTCCGACATCCGTTGTCAGTGATCGAGATCCTGTTTTCACTGGGCACTTTTGGAGTGAGCTTTTCCGGTTGGCTGGTGTCAAACTACATATGAGCTCGGCATTTCAGAACACTAGGACAAATAACATGTTGTATACATTCTGGGATGCCTGAATATATGGTTGCTTATGATGGAATCAGAAAATGATAAGTTCTGCAGTATTTTCAAATGCGGAAGCTGATTTAGAATTTGAGAATGTTGGCTCATGATGACAACAACTCTGTACATGTACATTCTGCAGATAGAGAAGCTTTTCTTGATTGAAGCATTTTAAGACTTGTACTACACCAGATGTGCCCCCTTGAGAAACAAAGGTTAGTGTTCTGCTATCGAGTTTTTTTTTAGATTGTAGCAAATAGAGATTTTGTTAATTTTTAATCAAATGTGAAGCTAAACTTCTCATTAATCTGGGATTGTTTTCCATAATTGTCCCGGTGTCAGAGATTGACAATTGATTTCACAACCAAATGAAAGGTAGTGTTTTTCTGGGAATGCCATCAGGGGCGCAGATCTGAGTGTAGTCAAAATCCTTCAATTTTTCAAATCCGTTTGGTAAAAGTTACCACTTTCTGAATTCCATGCAAGGACTGACTTATGAAAATTTTACTGTATATTATTGTTCTATAATTTGTTTATAAAAGTAATGCAGTAATGCTATAGGAATGATGGGACCCTAGGAGTTAGTGGCATATATCATCGACACACTTGCATGGCCAGGGGAATTATAACTCAGGTGCTCACCGAGGATCAACTGTCCAGGATCCAGGATTTTTAGCATTTGTTTTATTGAACGCTGGAATTACTTTTCTCCTCGTGCCATCTAAAGGTAACTTCAAAGCTAAATGGCTGGCCATGTATAATCCTAGGAGCATAAATATTTTTACAAACTATATAAATTTCTTTGTGAAATTTTAATAGTGATTCAGTGTTGCAACGGGAAATGCTATATACATGGCCAGCCATTTATATTCAGTGTTTAAGTCGATATATTGACCACAGATTTGGTTTATATCAGTAAATGGCCATGTTTTTTTCCCAAGTTATGTTTCTAAATATGTAGACTGTGGTACGATATTTATAAAGTTCAAGTTGTCTTTGTTTCCCAGAAAATCTTAGGTCTAGCAGACTTACTTAGTTTCTGTTTACAAATGAATAATCGGGTAGTGAATACTATACCTGTATATTTGTACTACTCTCTTATTTAGTAATGTATCTAAAATAATGTAGACTGTACTACAATATTTATTTAGATGCATATGCTCAATTTTTATATAAGTATATGCTGCTTTTACATTACTTTTGTTTGAATGTACATGCTGATATGAAATTTGGAGAGCTTTCTTGGAATGTACGCTGTTAAGAAAATTTAGATAAATTAAATCCTTATGCCTTATATTGTTTCTTAAACACACCTATAAGTTTGATTGGAGAAGGGGACATTAACCAATTGCTTGAAAAAGGTGTTTTGTTAGCTCAAGATATGGTGGAATATTTACAACTGTTTTAGTAACTCCCAGATAATCTTTCTCTACATACATGCATAACTAATTTCTCTAGGATAATGACACATTTCTGATTCGTTAAGGGCAAACTTTGAAGTACATCTGTTATGCGCGAGATATTCAGTTTATATTTCTAAACTTGGGTGCACTTTGAATCAGGACGAATAGGCTCAGTTGGATCAGTTGAATATAAAGAAGTGGTGTGCGATTAGTTTTTTTTGTAAATAGCTCAAGTTAGTTTTCTTCCTTGTAGGATAGTTACAAAAAAATAAGGTAAACTTGCATTTCTTGCATGAGCAAAGTTCATTACAACCTATCTAAGTATAATTTCCTGAAGAGTGTTTATAGCTGAAGTTGTTTCTTCTAATTTTGCTGAGGTTAACCCTCCTATGGCATGCATCCTTCTAAATTTTGCTGAGGTAAACCCTCCTGAAATTAGTAGGGTGCACGAAATACTACTGTTTTTTTAATTTTTGTACAGTGGCATTGAACATGGTTTTGCTCTTTGAGATATGATGCTTCCCTCATGATCAATGAAGATTTGCATTACTTTAGGTGATCTGCTCATGTTTGGGTGTTTGGGTAAGGAGGAGAAGAAATGGCTGGGGTGTCGGTGGTAATGAGGTTGTTGTTTCAGTTATACAGTTCCGCATAATTGTGTGACGTCCTGACTAATCCTGACTAATCTGTATGACCTTTTCTTCCATTTACAAATGCTTGTGTCTCTCCAGTTCACCTGTGAGGGAGATATGAAATCAGGTATGAGTAATTCTTGTGGTTTTGCTTCTTTTTCTGGACACACTTATTTTCATCCATTTTGCAGCAAGCAATAGTTAGGTATGAGAAAGAATGTGCCTTACAATTAACTGTCAGTGGTACACATAAAACTATTCATTTACTCTTCTTTCCTGGTCATATTGATACAGGTTAGTTTATGCTCTTACTCGAAAAAAAAAACAAAGTACATGGTCTTACTATTTGACCGTTTGATTAATTATATAAGTTTCTGAGAAAGCCCTGAATTCGATGTACTAGACTCGATTGTTATAGGCAACTAAGTAAAAAAAACAAGGTGATCCAATAAAGTATTAAAACACCCATGGATCATGTTGCTACCCTGTGGTGATGAAAAGAGACATAAGTGCTAGCTACTATTTTTTGTTTAATCATGAAACAGAGGCTTCATGAAACCAGATCAAGCAAGTCAAATGGGATTGCATCATAGGTAAGATCAAAGTTTTCCCCTTTTTGACATCAACAGCGTATTCTTTTGTCTGTAGAGATTGTATATTTGTTTTCATTCATAGAGGTTACATCATATCCAAGAGAGTGCCAAATCTGTCATGTAGCATTTGTCTTTTTTTTTTTACCCGGCCTCTACATCCAACTGGATATATGCAACCTTTTTAAATTAAGAACTTAGCCCTCAAATAACCCAATCTGAAATTCGCTCCTATAGCGATTTAAATTCAGGACCTTGGGGTGCTACTCAGGTTACTGCAACCATTAGGCTACATACCCTTTTACATGTTGCATTTGTCTAGATTATTGCATTTATAAGCAGTAAATCTTTTTCGGAGCAAATAGCATTTGTGCAGTGACCAAGGGTACTATCTTCTTGATTTGCTTGCAGTCTCCCATTGTTTGCTGAGACCATCAATACTCTTGCATGGATGATGGTTCAATTGAATAATTAGGAACTGCAATACTGGACGAGGCTTGTTTGAGTTTTCTTTAGTTCTCTTCAATAAGTTACCTCTTTAATTATATGGCTTCAAACTTTTTCATATTCCCGAGAGCATGTCTGTATGGCACCAAACTGTTCACCTGAGCAAATGGTCCAATAATGAATTGTGCTTTGTCATGGTACGTTGCTAACTGTTTGGGCCTTCTGGTGCAATTTTATCATTGAGATATTTTGTGCAGTGATGAAATGCATATTTGTATTGTACGATACTTTTATATTATCAATAGTAATTTACTTTAATTATTTTTTCAATTTTAAAAGTTGACCTGTTAAATGAGGTTTCACAGGTGCATTAAAATTTATTGTGTTACAATGAAACCTGTTGCTACAACAATCCTAGGATATCAATGTGTTACCTAGGTGCACTTCTTGGGTGATGAGTTGTGGGAGTTGTCCATATCCTCCTGGAAAATGTGTTGACAGGTTATGCGAGGTTCTAGGACAGAGACATGGGGATATAGTTCTAGGACGGAAATATGGGGAGAGATATGTATATCGTTAGGCGTGAAGTTCTGATGGTAAATTTATGGAGAAAAATTTGATATTGACCGAATGTATCTGTGTGCAAATTGTAGATAAAAGAATGTCAAATGTTCTGTTTTGGAGAAGACATGAAACAATTCGTGTTATAATATTGGTGCATATACCTTTTATGCAAATATTTAATTAATTTATATTCTGTGCATATATAAGATGCGATTAATTGCTCCATCTAAATTTACTACTCCCTTTCACAAAAATTAAAACATATGATTTTTTGAATTATTTTAATTTACTACTCTCTTTCACAAAAATTAAAACATGCGATTTTTGAATTATTTTATCTTGGGGTTTTGCGTTTGACTACAATTTTATATTTCAACAACTTTATAAAATACAATAAATTTGTGATAAAGGGGAGTTATTATTTTAATGATAAATATGGGCAGATCATTTAGCATTCGGATAAAGACATGTATATCTTGCTTGGATATTTGTATTTTAGACATGTTTTGAATATGTTTCTTCAAAAGTTATTTTGATTTGTATTGTTAAATATTACCGTAGCGTTAGCACGGGCAGATTACTAGTTCGACGAAGGCAAGAGATGAGGGAGGTAAAATAGACTTATTCCCACTCAAAAAGCTTAAAATGACATAAGCCCGATACTAAACTAAAGGCCCATTATTAGTATAAAACACTGCTGGCCCACCGCGTTCTTCCGCCTTTACTGTAGGAGTGTTAGGTTTAGGGCTTCCGCCGCCGCCTCCTCCTCCAAAACCTCGTCGGCGCGCCGCCGCGGCCAAGCCGCTGTGCTGTACAAGAACCGGTTCGGCGACAACGTAAGTTCCGTGCCCGACGAGGTATTTGTTCGCTGCCCCCTCCTCCTCCTCTTCAGTGTTCCTTTTTTTTCTCCGAGAGCATCGGTGATGTTACATCCATCTAAACTCATCCTTGCACTATGAGGTCACCGGTGAAGAAAAAATTGGGGGAATATGTAGTCTGAGATGCTCTGTTGATCCTCTCCTTGGATCATTCTTTTCTACTGAGCTGATGACGCGGCTGGAGATTTCAGCTGCTGTTTGTTTTCGTTTTCTGAAGCCTGAGAGCACCAGTGATGTTTACATCCACACTCATCCTTGCACTATGAGGTTATTACCAGTGAAGAAATCATTGGGGGAATATGTAGTCTGAGTTGCTCCTGCTTTTCCTTTCTCGCGATTCTGCTTTAATTTGTGGATTTATGGTTGATTTTTTTTGGCTTTGCCTTTATGCTTCTTGATTCCTCTCGTGGATTTGTGGTTGATTTTTGGCTTTGCCTTTATGCTTCTTGGGTTCCTCTCGTGAATACTGATTTCAGCTTCTTTCTGTGGCTTGATAGCCACCAGGTAGATGGGGAAGGCAAAGCGTGCGTCGATTTTTATCAGGCTTGTTTCAGCAGCTGGAACCGGGTTTTTCTATGTGAAGCGCAAGAATCCTCGTCGGATCACAGAGAAGCTTGAATTTAGGAAGTATGATCCACGAGTTAACAAGCATGTTCTCTTTACAGAAGCAAAGATGAAGTGAGATGGTGCTGGGCAAATCTTCTCCACAATGTGCAAAGCTGAATAACCTGCAAAAAAAACTCGTGTCAGGATTCAGGAACCTGTCTACTGTTAAGAATGCTATGATCAGTTTATCACCCTGTTCTGGTTCCAGCGTTTTATGCAGACAATTTCAACAAGTATGAGTTTGATCTTGATTAGCACTGGAATTCTGATGTTATGCATGTTGGTTTTGTTTTTTGGAATGGGCTGTAAGCCTGCAAACTAGGAATGCTTTGATTGTTTTACCATATCCCCGTTAAAGCAAAATTCTATCATGGCAACTTGTAGATAGGATTCACCATACTGAATTTGACTGTATGTATTCCTTTAAACATGTTTGTCAATACCTGGAAGTTATCTTGAATTTGGCCATGATCTGCATTGAGACAAATGATTCAGTGTACCTTCTTTTTTTTAACATTGGTTTGGAAAACACTACAAAATTCCTTTGGAAACATTGTAAAATTCTCCGATCCAAATGGAGCCTAAACATGTGTGATTTGTAAGATTGGCAGGACCTGGTATTCTTCTTGAATATGCTGCAACCTGTACTGTAAGTTGTAACAGAAGTAGTTTAGACTCTACAATCTGAACTTGTTTGACAAGAACTCAAGATAAAGGACTTCAGCTGCTCCACAAGTTTTACCTGACCTGGCGATATCTGCTGTTAAGCAACACTGGGACTTCTCCGGGCTTCTCTTCATCACACGGATCACTGGACCTGGCTTGCTCATTGCTGCATTTTGATCATGGATTTTATCGTCGATGGTTGCTGAAAGCGTTTCAGTGTTGCAAATTTACATTTCTTTTTGTGCTTACGACCTTTCAGAATTGTAATATTGTAATTTTTCTCCTGCTCTATCGAAAAAAATTACAGCCGTTCGCATCTAGAATTTGTGTGGGCCGTTTGCTTTAAAGCTCCTGTACCGAAGGCTTCTTGTATCGTCTTGGGCTTGTGGGACAACACAAATTCGCAATTGTTTAGCTCAAAAACCTTGTTACTCCAAACAAAATGAAACATTTCAATCGATCAGTTAGACAGTAACAAAGAAACAGAAGAATTTCCTGGAGAATAAGCATTCGTAGTGGTGGACCAAATCGCTCGTCAGAATGTCAGAATCTGGCTCTAGCGACGGGTTCCTAGTTTCAAAGGAGGGCCAAACTTGGGCCTTTCCTTTTGCCGGGCGTGTTACAGCCTGGTAATTGGGCTTGGTCTTAGCTTATGCTTTCTTCTGCAACAGCAACCGCTCGTGTGACCTGGACCACTTTGCCTGACTGAAAACACTTGAACCTCTGCTACAATTTCACCCAAAAGAAACTACAAACTTCTGCAAAGTGGATAGCACATAACAGCATTCTTTTGGGTACCCTAGGTTGTCTTTAGTCCTCGTAGTGCTCGATTGACATCTGATATGGTAGTACAGTAGTTCCTCATCTTTTAGTGAATTTCTCCAATGGTGGTTGCCTGGTTGGCCCTGGTTAGATGTTTCAAAAATATTCAGCATGTATAATGTATTAATCCAACTAAACTGTGGGAGCTCGACAAGACTAGGCTGTGTATCACAGGTGCAGACTTGCAGAACTAATGCTCACCTTGGTTTTGTTTTTGTTTTGAAGAAATGCTCATCTTGTTCCTGGACATCTGAAATACTACAGTTTTTTTTTCGCAAACGCGTAAAAAAATTACACGTCATCATATTAGAAGAGAGCAAGATTTTAATATACAACGTAACAGGCCATGGAGACATTTGCCAGGGGAATGGAAGAAAAAAAAAAGAACACGGAAAGGAAACGAAAAAAGAACTGCTAACGAAAAAACTGCTCCTATATAGAGGGAGGAAAAAACGGTGGAGCCACCCTAATGTCCCAACAAGTCTTCAAAACCTACGGTGCCAACAACAGACCACAACCAGACTTCCTGAAGAATGGACTCCAAGACCACAAAGACCGAGACGAAAGAGACCACAGAGACTACAGTTCACAATCAGTAAATGATCATATCTTGTTAAAAGGCTGCGGCATTATCTACTTACATTTTAACAAATGCAACGCAATTATCACCGAGACAATTGCAACACACGCATGTTTTCGGTAGCTTATGTATTATGGATTATCACGGTGCACTTCCCAAGCTTTTAAACGGTACACCTTTTGCAAAACCTTTCTTCGTTCGTATTTCTTAGAGAACTTTTCAAAATTAACTTATGAACTTTACAAAATGCAATTCCCTCGAGTAAACTCAGTTTCATTTCACCATCCACTGTTTATAAAGAGTACGCGTTTTCTAATTTCGCTTCAAATCCTTACAGGTAATCCCCTTTTAAAATGATGCCTACAACAACGATGAACGATGATAAATTGGGTAGCTGCCATATGCACATGCCACTTCATGACGACTATTCCCTCCGTCCCAAAATATAACAACTTTTGGTTGGATGGGATATATCCTAGTACTATGAATCTGGATATGCCTCTTGTCTAGATTCGTAGTACTATGATAGGTTCTATCCATAAAAAAATTACTATATATTGGGACAGAAGGAGTACAAAGCTATAGGTAGCTAGCCCTGTATAGTGAAATAAATCTAGAGGATTCCATGATCTTGCTTGCAGCCCTGCGCCGTCAGTACAGTTTTAATGTAGGTCTTAGCTTGATCGTCTTCGACATGTCTGCCTCCGGTACGTTGCCATCCTGCGTTGCAATCATGGCGCGATCGAGCTAACCTGCAACCTAATCCTTGCCATGATTCTAGTGTCTCCTCGTCTCTTTGTCACGAAATGTTGCTCCTGTTTTTATCTGCTCCTACTCATCTTATTCATCATGTTTTGAGGCATTAATTTCTTACCACAACATTTGGTTTGAGTGTTCGCCAATCGACGTCCATGACGCCACAACATATGGCCCTATTTACATACATTTATTCTGCGTGATTATATTGAATCCTCTATCCTGCAAAGCCTACCTATATATCAGCCATGGCATTAACTCGACCTGATTCTTTTCACGCTTTAGTAATGACAATGCTGCTGCTACGACATCCACAGTGTGCCTTTGCATCAATACGTGCTTGTACACATGTAGTACTGTCATCGCCACTAAATGTGCTGCAAGTACGTACTTGCTAGAAAATCTCTAGCCATTATAGACTGTAATATCGGTTGCTAGTACACACCTCGCCTCTCTCCGTTAATTTATAGCCTTCCATTGGTTGCTGTCTGAATTTATGGAGACGCAAGCTAGCTAGAGTTCCTACTTCCTCTTATAATTCGGAAGATTCTTCTGCTCTGCACACTGATATTACATATATGGACACAATTGTTCATACATGCATGTCATTGTTTTCCTTTTGCCATCTTGCTTGGCTGCTTTCCATTAATAATTGGTTGCAAAGCTCCAGTAATTGTCTGCTATCTTATCTTTTACAATACATATCAAGTGCAACAAATGTCTGAGGAAAGTGTGGTAGAGGTCACCAACCAAACCATCTTTAGTTACTGCACCCAAATCACTACTAGCATTCACTATACATATATGCTTCTGTTGGACTGATTATTTGTTTGCTGTGCATGCAGCAGGAGTGTTTCAATACTCAGTGGGAGTAGAAAGACTGAGCATGCAGCTAACAGCCTAGGACCAAGAGAGTAGGTATCAAGCCTGGCTCCAAAGGCACTTGTTAGCTAGAAATGACTTAACAATTAGGCCCTGTTTAGTTTCCAGAAAGTTTTTTTCAAAAACATCCCATCGAATCTTTGAACACATGCATAAAGCATTAAATATAGATAAAAACAAAAACTAATTGCACAGTTAAAGGCGAAATTGCGAGACGAATCTTTTGAGCCTAATTAGTCCATGATTAGCCATAAGTGCTACAGTAACCCACATGTGCTAATGACGGATTAATTAGGCTCAAAAGATTCGTCTCGCGGTTTCCATGCGAGTCATAAAATTAGTTTTTTTATTCGTGTCCGAAAACCCCTTCCGACATCCGGTCAAACGTTCGATGTGACACCCAAAAATTTTCATTTCGCGAACTAAACGGGGCCTTAATCACACCTTGCTTAGAGGTTACAAAGACTATCTAGGACTTAATTGATGTTGTTAGTATGCTAGCAGTACAGTGTATGGATTGTTCCTTTGTTAATTATTGCCATTGTGGGACGGTTGACGCCTAACCACTGCTAGCTAATCCCCTTTTCTCTTTCAGGGCTTCAAAGTTCAAAGAGAGGGTAGCATCATGCTTGCTTTAGTCAGAAGAAAGTCACTCACATCCCTACTGTTCTAGCTTTCAGTTGAGATCAACTCAATCAAAGATGCCATGCCTTCGAACTATACAAGCAAATCGCATGCCCCTGCTTATAGTCACTGGACGGAGGGTCCTATGATCTTTGGGCCCCACTTTCGGTGACATTATGTACTTCAGAAGGATGGAGAAATTAGAGAATTTATTAGAAGTAGGAGTATTGTATATGTGTCTCCGGGAATGGACCATATATGGGGATATGGATAGCTGAATGGAAACAGCACGAAAACATAAAATATTTTTTGAACTTTGCCGTTTGGATAGTAGCAGGGTTGGTGATACTTTGCGTCTTTGGTTGTTAAGCAGTTAGCATGACGTTCTGGTCATTTTGCTGCTTCTATTATTTCGCTAGATTCCCTCTACTTTGCCTTTGCCGGTTTTGCCATGCTTTTAACAGTTTCCTGTTGTGCTTCCATGCATGTTACTGAACTAGTTAGTATCGTCTAAATTTGATGAACTTCTTTCTTTTTTTCCCCTTTTTACACGAAAACATGAGCTTATGTTCGTTGGATAGCAGCAGCCAGCAAGATTATAGCCTTGGATAGCTGGTACGTCTTACGTTCTTAAATAATTGATTGTTTAAGTTTAAGCTTGTTTTATCTTCAAAAAAAAGTTTAAGCTTGATTGTCTGTCTTTTTTTTTCCTGAAAAAAAATTATAAATGCTTTGTTGGTGCTAGATGGGATCTGCGCTCCGAACTCCTTGAACTTGAACAGTAGTACAGTACCATCAAGATTTTGTTGGTTTAATATACAATAGTAGTTCACAATCCCCTTAACTAGTTTCTAAAATAATAATGGATACGTGGAACAGGAGGCAATAACGCACACAATGAAAAATATGCCACTACTTCAAGTTCCGAAAGCAACCTTTATGGGATGGTTTTAGCCAATTTTCGTATTTAGGGCCCCTTTAAATCGCAGGATTGAGAAAACGTAGAAATAAGAAAAACATAGAATTTTGATAGAAATGTAAGTGTAAAACAGAGGATTGCAAAACACAGGAAAAACATAGGAATGACCGTTTGATTGAACCGCAGAAAAAACAAAGGAATTGGATGAGAAAGATAGACTCAAAGGAAAGTTACCAAGAGGTTAAAGTTCTTGCTAAATTTTTCCAAAAATCTCTATAAGTTTATCCATTCCATAGAAATTTCAAAGGATTGAATATTTCAAAGAGCTTCATAGGAAATTTTCCTATAGGATTGAACCTCCAAAATTTCTATGTTTTTCCTCCTAATAAAAAGGGTCCTTACTTTTGCAGAGTAGAATTCTGAATGAATTTTGAGATATTTGTTCTTCAAAATTCGTGTGAAGTTATCCATGATCCAAACATATAAAAGGGTTATGACTGCTTAGCAACAAGAGGTACCAAAAGATACCAAGAACTCTACACTATCTTCTCTTTTTTTTCCTTCGAGAAACTCTACACTAGTTAACTATAGGAAGTATCAAAGAGTTACTGAAAGCTAAGGGCCCCTTTGAATCTTAGGATTGAGAAAACATAGGATTTTGATAGAAATGTAAGTGTAAAACAGAGGATTGCAAAACGCAGAAAAAACACAGGAATGACCGTTTGATTGAACCGCAGGAAAAGCACATGAATTGAATGAGACAGAAAGACTCAAAAGGAAAGTTACCAAGAGGTTGAGGGCCCCTTTGAATCGTAGAAATGAAAAAACGGAGGAATATGAAAAACATAGGATTAGTGACAGGAATGTAAGTGTAAAACAGAGGATTGCAAAACACAGAAAAAACACAAGAATAATTGCCAAGGAGTGAACCTCTCTAGCGGGAGGACGTGAGAACCCCCTTTGTGAGTTCGGCCAGGGGAATAAGGCGCGATGATCAAGAGCGTATCTTCGCCGTGGGATTACGCTAACGTGGTGGATGGCGATCGAGAAGGAGACAGAGGATTTATCCAGGTTCGGGCCGCTGAGAAGCGTAACACCCTACTTCTGTATGTGGATTCAAGCTTATGCTGTTGCAAGAGTTCTCAAACCCTAGGGAGATGGTCGGCTAACTTTCTCCTAAGGTTCAAGCTTCCAAGAGTCGTTGTTTTGCTCGGTGGGCAAGGTCCTCCTTTTATAGTTCAAGGGGTTACCACATGCACCGTCTCTACACATATCGTCCTTGGAGGGGGGCCCACATCAACCCGGGCTGAGTAGCCAACCATGCCTTAGGCCGGAAGTAAGGTGGCAGCTTGTCCTCAGGTGGGTCCCAGCGCTATCCTTCGTCTGACACGAGGGACATCCCCCGTCATTCCCTCTTAAATTCATGGAGACTTTGGCGAATGCATGCACAGGAGAGGCACCAATTGTACATTGGTCTCCGAGCGTTGATGGGACGGGGCATACCTGCCCCCACGCTGCCTGACACAAGGCGGGGCGTGGGTGCGCTGCCGCCCATCCCATCCACCTGCGGCCGGTCTTAGCCCGGTCAAGGACGATTGACGCACGTCAATCGATTGGACGTCGCACGACCAGCCACGCTGTATTAAATGCGGCGGTGGTGGTTGGGACGCCGCCCATCAATGCGCTTGGCAGCGCCCCTTCCTCCACCCACTCAGCTGCGACGTGGCAGCCGAGCGTGGGCCCCGGGGCGACGCAGCCCCTCGGGCCCGAGGGGTGCAACGGGATACCCCGAGACCCCTAGGCGGTTACGGGCGCCTTTCGGCTACTTACTACCTGCGCGCCCGACCCCCCCCCCTCTCGATGGGGCCCAGGCCGCGCAGCCACGTGGCTAGGGGAAAGGACCCTTTCCCCTTAGCATGGGTACCCCCGGGCCCATATCATCGATAATGATCGTTTGATTAGACTACAGAAAAAACATAGGAATCGGATGAGAGAAATAGACTCAAAGGATTCTTACCAAGAGGTTGGACCTCTTGCTAATTTTCCTCCAAAACCAATATGCAATAAGCCATTCCATAGGAAATTTATAGGATTTGGAAAACTTCAATCCTTTAAATCAAAGGGCTACATAGGAAAATTTCCTATAGGATTTCAATCCTATGAAATTCCTTCGTAATTTCTTTGATTCAAAGGGGCCCTAAAGCTCTGGCTAAATTTCCTCCAAAAATCTATATAGGATTGTCAATTTCACATGAATTTTAAAGGATTGGATAGGATTCAATCATTTGTGTCAAAGGGCTTCATAGGAAATTTTCCTATAGGTTTAAAATCCACCAAAATTTCTATGTTTTTCCTCTAAATCAAAGGGCCCTAACCTAAACACTGTTCCCTGAATGATTTCTTCTATGATTACGAATGATCTACCAGAAACTCCATGCCCCTGACAGCAACACACCACCAGATAGCAACATCAAATTGGATTTTAGGAATTAAGCAACAAGCTACTCTAGTATAGCAACAAGACCTGACAAGTTTAGCCAGGGGGCCAGCCAGCCTCTCCCGACGAACGATCGAAGCCAGCTGCTGCATTATTAGTGTGCAGTGCAGAGCTCTGTAGCAACTGAATCATGGCGGACTCCTTCCTGCCTGCCTCCCTTCCAAAGCTAGCCATTGCGTGCTGGAGCGATGGATCGAGTACTACTAAGTAGTACTCCGTTCTAGTGGCGATCGAACTGCCGATCCATCGAGCAACGTATGCAACTTTGGGGCACATAATGATATACGATCATGTACTGATGTACCGAGTAAAACCATGGACAGGCCAGTACTTGACAATATGTACTCCTTCCTCCAAAAAAATACCTGCATCTTTTGTTACTATCTTCAACCCTGCTAAGTACAGGGGAATCTACAATTACCCATGTTTAAATGCATGTGTTAAGCTGCACCCTGTGAAATCTGTGATGTATAATAACCTACAAAATTAAGATGCAGTCATGCAGACAATCAATCAAAGTGGATGCATTTTGTTAAAAAAAAAATTCATAAGGCTGGTAGCCTCATTATCTGAGAAATAAGGCTGTCAATTCTGCTTCGTTGTTTGCTGGTTTGAGTACGGATTGAGCATGCTTCACTGAAATCATGAACTGGTTCTTCCCGAAATGAGATCATGGAAGGCTTGCCATTCACTCATCCACAACCGGAGCTTCTTTTCCATGATAACAGTATGGGTCTCATAAACTATGGCTCTGTGATGTATTCCTTACAAATGAGTCCCAGAATTCGACAAACACAATTGTAAATGATCTTATAATGGAATGGCCATGGGTCAAACATTTGCTCCTAAAATTGGTGAATCATTGATAATCTAGGAGGGCCAAGACATGATAGGTGTCTTCCTTTAACATCTCCCCTTTTTCTGTTGTTGCCCATTCCCTGCTGTTCTTTCTCAGAAATTTTACCCTACCATGCTACCAGCAGTTTATGATTTATGCTTGATTTTTACAAAAACACGCTATGAAACAAACACTTAATTTTCACCTGACAGGTAATTAACAGGTCCCATGGTATATGAAGCCATGAACATTTCTTTAATTTCTTAAAACAAAATTGTTATTAATCGAACCTTTCTGAAGCAGTCTTAAGAAAAATAGAGATTTTCTTTAACCAAAACATGGACAGGAAATCACGATGAGATATGTTCCATCCGTCTCAAAAAGAATTAAACGCTACGAATGTCCAGAACTCCAGATTCATTTCTAAGATTTGAATTTTTTAGAATGAAAGGAGTATAACCTTCTAATTGCACACAGTATTTGGTAGTAACTGGCATGAGAAATTGACAGAACATATGATTTTTTTTCTCTGTTTCACGAAAAAAAATATCTTTTTTTTGTTTGGTTGAGTCGTTGTTTGCCTACTCCACAGCATCCATCATCCACAGCTGAGAGATTTGATAATTTAACACTCTTTTCAATGGGTTTCGATTATTTGACATCCTGGCCCATTTTCATTCACTCAGATGGTCTCATATATCATCCTCACAAATGTTAATTAAAGTAATTAGACAACGAAAAAATGTCAAATTATTAAATTTTTCTCCACAGCTACACCCTCCTCCTCTCCCGAACCCCAATCACCATGGCCATAAGACGATGAGCTGAGAGAGAGAGAGAGTTCCAACCATCTCCTCTCCTCTCTTCTCTTCTCTTCTCTTCTCTCTTCTCTCTCCTCTCCCCGACAAGCACAGGGCTCGTCTTTTCCTTTCTTCCCCTCACTCTTTTCCCCTTCACTCACACACAGTCACACTGTGCGAGCCTGTGTGGGACTGTGGGTGTTGGCCATTCCAGTACAATCCGTTCTCTTTATTCCTCCCTCTCCTGCTTGTCTCGTTGCGTGGCCGTGGCCTTGTGCGGTTTTATGGATCAAGAAACCTCACGAGAACCCCGACGCTTCGGCCGTCTGGTGGCGCGGCGCTAGCCATCTCTTTGGATCGCTCCTCGCGATCGCATTGCGGCCGCGTTCTTTGATTTTTGGTTTTTTTTTTGTCCGGTCAAAGGTTGGTTCTTGGTGGTGTAGATTCGGAGTGGCGTGTCGTGGCGGCGGTTTTTTGTTGTTGTTGTTGTTGTTGGTAGATACTGGTTCGGATTGTTTCTTGGAGGAGGAGGAATTTCGCGTCTTGGTGAGTTGGGATTTGATCTTTGGGCCGGCTGAAATTGGGATTTTGTTTTGTTTTGATTGAGTTGCGGTTTGTTTTGTCTGGATTAGGAGCAATGGCGGGCGGCGGCGGGCAGTCGGCGATCGCCGCTGAGGACGACGACCTCGAGCGCGGCGCGGAGCGCGACGAGGAGGAGGAGGAGGGGAGCCAATACTTCACCGACGCGGAGGACCACCAGTCGTGGGCGTCGCACTCGCGCCACAACTCCACCGCCTACGAGGACTACATCTCCACCTGCGCCTCCGTCCGCGCGAGCTCCTACGACGGCGAGGCGGAGGAGGAGGAGGATGCCGGCGGCGGCGGCGGCGGCGTCGAGCACCACCGCAGGAAGTCGTCGTGCGTGTCGGAGTGCTCGCTGGACGACGTCGACCTGGAGGCCGGGCTGGCCGAGGTCATCAAGGGCAGCCCCGAGAAGGCGGAGAGGTGCTGCCGCATTTGCCACCTTGGCCTCGAGACCGCGGCGGCGGAGTCCGGCGCCGGCATCACGCTCGGCTGCTCCTGCAAGGGCGACCTCTCCTACTCCCACAAGCAGTGCGCCGAGACATGGTTCAAGATTAGAGGCAACAAGTAAGCTCCAGACTCACTCATCTAATCCACTCTCAATTACTATTTGATTAGATGCAATGTTCGAAGTCGAACTCCATATGTTAGCTCGGATAAATCGATGAATCAATTAGTTTATTATTATTGGATAAGGCATCACGCATCAGCGTAAGAGCGAAGTAACACAAGATTTATTTCAGATATATATATATACTAGGGCATATGGGTGTATGAACACATGGTTAAGGAATCTTGATAGGTGTCTGTTTTTTTTTCCCTTTGCTTTCTTTGGGCGGACAAAGGTAAAGGAGCAGATGGGGAGGAAAAGGCGAAGTAGTGGATTAATTAGTAGTGTTGTAGGAATCGGGAAGGTTGAGATCATTGGAGAGGATAAAGGTAGGATTCGTTCTTTCAATCTGCTTTTCTCACAGATTCTCCGTGGCATCTGATTGTTCCTCTGGAGTGTTGTGTTGACCAAGTTTGTTTGTTGATAGATTGACATGGTCTGATACTATGATGCGCCAGTCTATGTGACATGCCTTTTTTTTTCCTTCGATTTGATGGTGCGAGGGAGGTGTGATTGTGTCATCTTCCATTCTGAAAGTGTTTGTTTCAACACAATTGTAGTTAGGTGATCCACTGAGTCTCAGTCACAACCATAATGTGCTCCACTTAGCCTTGATCCACTTAATAAAATTGTTGTTAAGAGAATCAACCATAGTGTGCTCCACATAGTCTCAGACTCTGAAGTGATAACCGCTTCCAGCGTAGGAAAATGGCCTATTATAGACAGGGGATGGTTATAGACAAAATTGGTTTTAAATTTTAATAATCATGGCTTAGTTGCTAGTCAGTGTAAAAAAGGTGTTGGGCAATACAAACTAGTCTGCAAGTCTAATTTTTTTAGTGGTTGGTGTTTTCTTTCTCATAAAAATCGGTAGCGCAAACCGACACACAAGTACCTGTTTTGTTCTTGATATTATTTTTTACTTTATTTTTGCTTATATATTGTTGCCACAGCTTGATCACTGTAAGATTTGCTCAAACTACTAACAAGAACATTTGCTGACTAATGCAGTTTAGGCTAATGAGATTAGTTCAACAATATAATTACACTAAAGTTTGAACCACAGATATTGTAATTGGAAACTGTGAACCACGGCAACTCTTACTTTATAAAATTATTTCGATTCTATTTCTAGAGCCAAATTTCTCAAATGAGTCTGAAATTTCAGACCTTGGTGGTAATAATGATTTACTTATGTGACATCAGCTTCAGCAATATTCATTGCACCGATTATTGTTTTCACACTATGAGATGTAATAGTGAGCCCTGAAATTCCTATGCTGCTCCCATGCTGAGAAGAATAGACTGAATTCTGATCACTGTGTTTGTCTGCACTTGGATCTTTTTGGACAATTAGTAATTTTTAAGTTTTAGCTCCTACCTTTTTTCCGTTTGCAGTACAAGGCTATAGGAAAACACTGCGGTAATTCTTGCAAATATATCTATATTTACTGAGGCTTTTATCCTTACTCGCCCAATAATCAATGTTAGAGTATATGGTGGTTAGAGCAATAATGTTGTTAGATTGATTTATATCGTAGTCTTCCTTTTCTGTAGATCCCTCCTTATCTCCACACCTTTTGTACTCTTAACAATCAAAATTGCATCAATCATACTTGTACTGCTTAAATCATTTTTTTACACTGCTTAAATCATACTTGATAAGTTGATATCCCCAACATTTTACACTCATTTAATGACATAACCTGTCAATCACCTTATCAAATTTCAGTAAAATAGAATTGAATGGCCCTCAATAATTTCAATCTTACTTCAAGTGCGAAGGTGATAGGTTTTGAGTACATTTAAACTAAATGATCTATCCTTCTGTTTGCCAGGATATGTGAAATCTGTAGCTCTACCGCATGCAATGTGGTAGGCATTGGTGATTCAGAATCCGTTGAGCAATGGAATGAATCGAACAGCACAGCACCTGCACAAGCACCACCAGCTGAAACTCAGAGATTTTGGCAAGGGCATCGGTTCCTGAACTTTCTTCTTGCTTGCATGGTTTTCGCCTTTGTTATCTCATGGCTCTTTCATTTCAACGTCCCGGGCTAAGTTTTGAAACACATGGTCCTCAATAAAAGCTCCAATGCCATTACTACACACCTGTGGGTTGGATTTAGTAAATCTGAAGAACAGGCTGAGGTGAAGGAAAGTTATGAAGTGGTACAAAAATGTTGGGTGGGGCATGTTGATCTTAACTGTGTCAATGGCAATTGCCTCCTTTCACAACGACCAAGATTCCATTAGACAAGAAGCTGGAAGGACAATTTCCTCCTGTTTCCCTTGTCTGGATGGAGATGAAAACAAAGAATGGAGAATGTGTTTGTTCCGTCAATAGTGCTGTCATGGTTTTCAGGAAGAGATTGTGCTGTATCCATTCCCTATCTTCTCAGGCAATTTATCATTTATTCTGCTGATTTGGTGTAAGTGTTATCTTCCAGGAGAAAAATGTGCTGAGTTCGGAAGCATGTCGCCAGAAAGAATAAACAATATTGTGAAGTTCCTGGGCATATCGCCGCACATGAAATTGTCGATTTTGTGGAGATAATCCTGTAATGGTCCTTTCGACGTTTGTGACTCCGTGTTCGGTTGTTTGTTGGATGGAGTACATGATGAAATGTCACTCTTTGTTGGACGTTAGTACTCTTTGTTGGATGGAGTACTACAGAATAGTACTAGTAGAATTTTTTTATCCATGCTCATTCTAAACAATATATCATTTCATCAGTCTTTTTCGTGGTACTAATGTGGATATGTTTGACCACGAAGAGAACTGTTGAGTTGAAGAAATTACTGACTTGTGGCCCAACTCTCTCTGTCCTTAAAAAAGCCGGCCTCGTACTGTACGTGATACATATATTATTTCTAGATTCGTTATACTAAAATATATCACATTTTAATACAGGATTGGTTTCTTATATTTTAATACAAGGTTGGTTTCTTTTGGGAGAGACAGAGGGAGTAGCGGGGGAAACCCATTTGGTCCATGTCGAAGCTTGTACTGCTCTTTTTGTCTTAAAATATAAGGATCTGGATTTGTATCACATCCATCTAAAATCCCTTATATCTGGGACGGATGGAGTACAAAGTACACGTGGTACAATCTTGCGACTAGAGATTGGAACTCCTGTGAGTGTTCGATTCAGTGCGTGTCTGGCATAAACACGCAATAAATTGCACGATACTTGGTGGACGTATACTGGAGTACATACTACCACCACCACCGTCTTTTAGTTTACACACTTAGACCTTGTTTAGTTGCGGAAAATTTTTGGGTTTGATTGTCATATCGGATATACTAACACACATTTGAAGTATTAAACGTAGTCTAATAACAAAACAAATTACAGATTCCGCCAGAAAACCATGAGACAAATTTATTAAGCCTAATTAATCTGTTATTAGCAAATGTTTACTGTAGCACCATATTGTCAAATCATGCGTAATTAGGCCTAAAAGATTCGTCTCACAATTTACACGCAATCTGTATAATTAGTTTTTTTTCCTACATTTAATACTCTATGCATGTGTCCAAATATTCGATGTGACAGTGTAAAAATTTTTATTTTGGAAACTAAACTAGGCTTACACCGTGCTGCAGCCAGGCCCAGATATAAATGCAAATTGGTTGCTGGAAGGCCACGGTGCCAAGACACGGCTACAGGTTGATGTTGAATTGTTGATGCAGGTTGAAAGTATGGACGCGTATGATGAGATCGCGTGCTGTGCCACCCTGCGGCGGTGAAGAAATTTCACTTTTTTCAGTAGACTGTATCGTCCACTCGTTTAAAACACCGAAAAAACAGATGGTCCCTCCTGCAGTTACTTCCAAGTTCATCCATCCATCTCTGATCTCACTCTACCCGTGTCACTCCACGATCATCACCAGTGGCTCTATCCAAGCCGGTGATGTGAACAAAGCCTAATCACACACGCAGGGGCGGATTTAGCATATAGCTGATGGGGTCTAGGACTTTAGTCAATCTTTACCTATGAGATGTGGAGTATATTCTTATGTGTATGACCTGAGTCCCCACATTATCTGGAAAGAAGGCCTCCACTCTCAGTTTTTGTTACTATTCTTGCAATCTCTGTTTGTGCATCGAGGCGTTACTACCAAGACTCAAACCAATCACTCCCAATCCCCTCGATCTAATTGGCAATCAACAGAAAATCAAGATGAGGAACAAAATTTGATGCATTCTACGCTCGCCGAAAAATTCTTGCGCTTCCACAGCCCGCAATGTGTCCAACAAGTAGCCACCTAGATGCCGGATGAGTCGCCACTCATGAACGCTGGCGGCCTGTGGTACTTCCTTCCACTACTCTCCGTCTAACAGCAATGTACTTTCCTATTCACCGGGTGACGTCGCATGTTGTGGCCGATCTCTGCGCCACGCCCTGGTCTGCTAATTCTTAGTGTACCTATAAAACCCACCCTTCGCATTACGCTGTATTTAGTTTTTGAAATTAGAGAGAAGTTAGGGGAAAGTTGGTAGTTTGAAAAAAAAAAGTTAAAAGTTTATATGTGTAGAAAAGTTTTAGATGTGATGTGATGAAAAGTTGAGTGGGGGAAGTTTGGTGTGAACTAAATAGGGCTTTAGTTATTAAGTTGTGATTCGATGTAATCCCGTGCCCCGATCAATTTTTATCCTCCATCCGCCTCTGCACACAGGCTCTCTGTCGTGCGATTGTTGCCTCCACCTCGACGCGGATAGCCGAGCTGCGCACACCATCGCTCTGCGCTCCCCTACGTCGCCGTTCGCGCGACGCGCTGGCACGTGGTCTCCCGCTCCGCTCACCCACGCTGTCGCCGTGCGCGTCCGTGCCACATCGCGTGAGCGACACGCTCCAGGCGAAAAGCATGTGGGGTGGGCAACCAAAACCGTCGGTGAGTGTGCCAATACACGAATGAACAAACAATTGATCAGAAAGATTAAGCTGGCCACTATGTACAGCGACAGCTAGTGACTCCGAAGAACGTACTACGGCGGCCAAGATCCTGATTCCTGAATAGCGTCTACCGCCCGATTGATTAGAGCACCAAATCATCCATTCATTTCATTCGTTTTATCTGCGATCATGCTATAGTACCAGGATGGTGGATGAGCAGAAATCGACAAGGAAACCATGTGTAATGCTGCCTCTGCCGCTGGAATCTTGTTCAGGATGTGCATGCACTATGCAGATGGACCGGGCGGTTGTTCTCAATCCGCCCCCAGAGGATTCTCCTCGGGGTCGACGCGAGAAGACAAACTCCCGGTGGAAAGCAGATGCCGCGGCTCATGTACCACCATTGACAGCAGCGTCGGAGAGCGTGCTGTGGGCGTGATTGATGTCTTCATCGTGCCTCCCGTTCATCTGCGCGCGCTGTCGCTGAATTGATAGAAACAGACACGTCAGAAAAAAAAAGTGCAATGTGACAGTTTGTTCCAGTATGCCTAGTAGATGGCTCCTCCAATCAAGATCGAGGTTTTTGTTGTAATCCCTCTCCCAAAATATAATACTAACCTAAAACCAGATTGAACGTATATATCCAGATTCTCATAGTACTAGAATACAATCCGATACTAAACTACTCCCTCCGACCCAAAAAAAAGACAAACCCTGGTTTCCGTGTCCAACGTTTGACCGTCCGTCTTATTTGAAAAAATTATGAAAAAAATTAAAAAGACAAGTCACGCATAAAATATTAATCATATTTTATCATCTAACAACAATGAAAATACGAATTATAAAAAAATTTCATATAAGACGGACAATCAAAGTTGGACACGGAAACCCAAGATTTGCCTTTTTTGGGACGAAGGGAGTAAGCTGCTACTAGGTTACGTCAAATCCAGATTATCTAAGTATATTCTAGGAAGTACTTCCTCCGTCCCAAAATGTAAGCATTTTTTAGGTTGGCACGGGTATTAAGAAAGTAGGTGAGAATGATTGAATAAGGTGTGTAATTGGTTGAAAAGAGAAAGTAGGTGAAAAAAAATGGTTGTGATTGGTTGAGAGGAGAAGGTAGGTAGAAAAATAGCTTCATTTTGGGATAAAGTACTGTGCTAGAAATAGCTACATTTTGGGACGGAGGTAGTATATTATTAGGATGGAGGGAGTAATTAAACTAGCAAGGGTTGTAAACAAATTTAGTAGTACTCGCTCCGTCTCAATAAACAAATCATGAGATGTGACGTATTCTAGTATAATGATCTGAGCAGGTTATCGCATCTCATAATATGTTTGTTTATTTTGGGACGGAGAAAGTAGGATCCAGCATAGTATAAAGTATAGGCAAGTTCATCTAATAGACAGGCTGACTGTACTAAGCTAGGCTTGTTCAGGGAGTATATAGGGAGAAGACTTCTACAATACCCGATCAGTAGGATCCCCATGGTTTCCGTTTAATAGCTTATGGAACTCTTCCTTCAGTCTGCTGTCTTTCTCCTCCTTCAACCTGCCATCCTTTTCCCTGGTACTCAATGGAAGCAAAGGTACTCCATTTGTACGATCCGGCATTTCTGTAAATATCTCAACAAAGCTTGTTACAAAGTGTTTGCCATACAAATCCCTGTAAAGGCGTAAGGCAACAAATGTGACAAAAATATAACCTGGGAGTTTGTTGTCCACGAAGAATACGACTAAATTAACGGTATACCTGCATGGGAAAAGTATGTGAAAAGAGAGGTAGTGGCCACATTATGACAATAACAAGCAAGGAGCTAAACTTATCATACCAAGCAACAACAACATCCACAGAGTAGTGTTTGCGAGAAGCAATTATAAGAAGACTCTGAACTATGGCCATGAACCAAGCAAGAAGCTTAACAAACCTGTAACAAAAGGTCCACCAGTTAAATTTTAGTGTTCAGGAATACACTCAGGCAAAGTTAATATTCAGGGGTCTCAGAACTTGGTAATGTTCAAACCAGAAAACATTGGTAAGAACATACCTTTTTGAACCATATTTGTGGTATGTTCGAACAAAAACAAGAGTAAAAATCATGTGAGATGAAAATATCAGATCACCGCAGCCAAAAAGTACTCCACGAGGAACTGAAAAAGAAAAATGAACTTGTGTGATCAGGAAAAATTCCTTGCGCAGCTGTCAAACCACAATAGAAACTTACAGTTAATCAGGAGCACTTCAAATACATTGTTGGGTGGTGGAAGAGTAGCCAACTTTGAGCCCTATAAAGGTAAAAGCTTCGGATGAGTGCTAAAATGAGTAATTGACAGGTTTACAAGTTTTCACATGTCCAAAAGCAGAGCAAGAGTGCATGTAAAATTCTTGGCTAAAATGAAAAAGGCACCTCACGACAATGGTAGTTTGGGCCCGGAAGCTGGGTGGAATAGAACGTAATGATTCTTAAAACCTGCGAAGCCTGAAGAAGAAATATTCAGTTACTTTTCAGTGGCATGCATAAACTATATCAATGGAAAAATAGGAAGAATGCACTCACAACTAAAAAGGCTAGCACCCGGCGCCAGATTAGGACAGTGTAGAATCTTTTGCTATGATAAATAAAAGGATGAAAAGTCCACTGCACATAAATATACTTGTGAGACCCAGCTTGATAAGTTGCAGTATAAAAAGGAATCACATAAATGCATGAAAGGAACTATAATCTTCAATATGTCATGACCAGGAATATGACCCATCTCTCAACAGAGAATGATGATAGATCACGCCTATTATTTTTTTATTTATGCTTAGGTGTTGATATCTGAATGATCTAGTTTTTCTTGGTTATACAAATTATCAGTTATCAATTAAACAAACAGAAATAAGTAGAGTACAAGGATACATACTAAAACAAAGGAAGCGAAGATGGAAGCAAATATGCTCTCACTTAGATAACCTTTGTCTTGCCCAAACTCCTAAAAACAACGGTAATAATTGGCTGTTACATATGCAAATTAATCGATAGCAAAAAGGATAAGTGATTTACTTACTGGAAGGGCCATAAATCCAAGGTCCTGCAGAAGTGGACCAGGTCGATGCAAGTAATGCACTCCTCGAGCAGCCAGCCCATGAATATACTAATTATAGGCAAAATATTGTATGAATCTCCAAAGTAATCCATTAATCAACTGACAAACACAGAAGAATAAGTAATCCTATATAACTAAATGCAGAAAAAAAAAAGAGAACTGAACACAGAAAATTTCCATCACGCCAAAAAGAAAAGGAAACAACAAACAATATTGATCTGTCAGAACTATGGTCTTCCAATGAAAGTTAGGAATTGCGATCTAAAACTGCATGAACTTATTGACCAAGATTTTCAACCGTTATGCTGTGAATGTGCAAGTCACATGACTTGAGTGCACACACAGAAATATTCTGTTTAGTGTTCAGAGAGACAGCACACTTATATCCCAAATGTCAAAATAATATAGGAATCAGAGATTGGATCAGTGAGTGGTGGGTCAGAACTCAGAAGACACTGTCTACTATCAGCAAGACTGTATCACAGACAAAATAAGTTGGATTGAGTAGCATTTAAAAATAGTTCTCATGAACTTTTATTGTGGATTTATGAGAAAGTAATAGTAGTTACAAGAATACATCTAGGAAAATTCACAACATGCATAGTAACTATTATTTCCATGCATGACATGATAGTTCAGGCGATATACTGTTAAAAGAAACATAAACCTATATTAATTTTTAAAACAAGGCAATGAGGATAGATTTAACATGTCTCAGAAAGGAAAACAGAAGACAGATGAATACAAGAGTATCAATTGACACAGATGGCGACAATTCACCTCTACAATGGCATATACCATGTAAGAGCGCGGCACTAGCTAGACAAACATTTGAACAAAGTGTTTACCCGCTCAATTTTCTTATACTGCTCACGGCCAATGAATTTTTCATGCCATGCATACAGCAGGACTGTTCCTTATTATGACATTCCATTGCAATTTCAAAACCGAAAAGGCAATCTGTGCCCAGGGCATCATTCATTCATTCCTTGAAAGAGCAGCACTGAATCCCTAATCTACACAGACTACAAAGAATGCACTCCAATATACAACACAGAACACTTGTAAATGTTACTGACTACAGATTTAGTATAGCTATTTAAGGTCTCGCCTAGCAACCAAAAAAACCCCAAAGGCTAATCACATGGCTACTAAAAAACCCCAAAACGGCAACATTATCAACGATAACAAAGTGCAAATCGCGTTGCAACAGGGGGGGGCAAATTTGGCAACCTCTCATCAACTCGGCATTAAAATTCTGTAACGCACTCCACCACTAGCAATAACCACATCACGCGCGAAATCAGTAATTCCACGCACACGACCGAAAACTAGTACTACTAGTAACAAACTGACGAGCTCACCTGAAACACAATTCCGGCGAGGAGCAATCCCCACTTCTCGCGCAGCAGCGAGAGCTCCACCGACGTCTCCGTGGTCACCTTCCTCCATACCTACACAACAAGAGGTGAAAAAAATAAAAATCGCAAATTCACACGACGCGATCGACAAAGAAATCCACACTAAAAAAAGCACAAGATCGAAAAAAAAAACAGAGAGAAAACCTTGGAAGCCTCCCGCGCTATGTAAATCGTCATGGCCGCACCCCGCCGCGCGACCCCTGCTCCCACCCCGACCGCTGCAGCTCCTACCGTGCGACGCGATCAAGTCCATGCTCCGATCCACACATCACGCCACAGCCCGCCGCATCCCCGCGTCGGGATCGCCGCCCCAGGAGTAAAAGACACCGCCGAGAAACCAGAGAAGCGGGCGGAAAACTCGTTTCCCAACAATCTGGCTCCGCCTCCGGCGCCGGCAGACGAAGGCCGCTAGCTCCCTCACCTGCGCGGGGGCGGGCCACGCGGTGTACGGACGGGGGGCGGCGGTGGCCGGCGGCGGCGTGAGCACCGAGAGAGACTTGGACTTTGGAGAGAGCTGGAGGGGGGGGGGGAGTTGTGGAGAGATCGAGAAAACGAGAGAGGAGAGCGATGGATGGTGGAAATATGGGAGAGATGAGGGGGTTTTATGAAAAAAAGGGGGGTGTTGAGGATGGAGCACGAAGGTCGTGGGGGGTTTTAACTGAACCTTTTGGGAGGAGGCCGTTTGATCTGGATGGACGACGTGGAGTGGAGCAAAACACATGACTTCGTGCTCTAAAAGTTTTACTACCCTCAAATCCATCCGGACATCCTTATGTGTCTCGTTAAGATTCTTAATTTAGGGTTGGTTTGGTTTGTGGTCTAAATAGGCCTTACCAATTTTTATCAATGCCAAATTTTGGTAAGTTTTGGCATGTCTAATTTTTTTGTTAAGATAAAGTTGTGTTTGGATTGAATCCAAAATAGCTTAATTTCACTATTGAAATGACATATTTTTTTAGGCATGCCAAAATTTGGCTTCAAACCAAATACACACTAAACACTATTGAAAATACCAAATATTGGTAAGCCTAATTTAGGCCTTAAACCGAAGCCCTTACTGAATTTCTCTGCTCTGCTCTTCTCTTCTACTGTTACTCTAAAAACGCAATCGTTCTATACTTCCATTCTCTTCTCATGCCGTATACCGTATTTTTGTGCATTTATAATGGTGCTACTAGAACTTATTCAGTCCACGTAACAAACACCGTGATTGAATTATGACGAAACACAAGCCACAAACCACAAAAACTTTTCGTTAGACCGGCCTTTCGAAATGTAGTAGAAGATTCAGATGCAACTCTCCTGGTCTAGTGGAGTCGGCTGTTGCACGAGGCCCCACGGCGTTTTGTTGATAGAGGTCCAGATCAAATACCCTGTCCTAGTTGCGGATACCGACCCGAGCGACGGGTGGCCGGATCATGCTGCTACATGACAAGTCAGTGCTAACCTTCTCGCAAAGAGACAGATTCGTGCTTGCGTATTTTAATACTACCGTATAGTAGTATCTGCCACATGCAGTGATGCAGAGCAAAAAGGCCATCGATACTGTATCTCCTAGCAGCTGTAGCAGACTGAATAATGATCAGTCATGCCTCAATTACCGATTCCTCCCTAAAAAAACCTATTTTATCTCTTTTTATTATTTTTCTAAACAAAATAAACATAATTGTAATCTCCATACATATAATACTTAGTAAAAGGTTTTATCTTTTTATTACTACTCAATTGAATTTTTAATCGGAACCGAACAGACATCTTAAACCCACTTCGAATCAAAGGAAATTCACATGAATTTTAGAGGATTTTATTCCTATTGGAATTGAAAGGAATCTTAGGCCCCCTTTTTATTCATAGGAATTCATAGGAATACTCATGGGTTGTCTGCTTGAATGTATTTCTTTTTTCTTTTTGTCTTTGTTACATGTTGTATCGCTAGTATGAGTTAATTTCTTCTTCCTTCTAGTAAAAAAAATAGTACATTCATCTTAGTTTGATCATTTTTAGGTCTTTTCAAAATAATCGTCCTCTCTAACAAGTGTCTCTTCGTTTATTATTTGTGCAACGAGTAAATGTGTTGCATGGAATTAACCAATATTAGTTTTTGTTGGTGCAACTTCATGTAATATTTAAAATGTAATGCAATTCACAAGGCATAAAAGCGACGTAGCACCTTGATTGATGATGATTAATTTTCGAATGATGAAGGTCTTGTTGTCCTTAGTCCCTACCTTTTTTTTAGACGATGATTATATTGGGATGGAGGAAGTATGCCCTAAACTTGCGTATAGATGAATTACTATACATTGAAAAATGATTACCAATAAGTCTTGAAAAGTTGAAATTATTGGTGATTTGGTACTGGTCGTTTTTTTTTTTTTTGCTATGGAGGCACAGGGCTTATTTAGTCTGGACGGAAGTGATGTGTTGCTTGCAGTACATATAAATGAAACGTGCATTTGTTGACTTTAAGCAATGGTTCACTTGAGCGCATGATCTGCTAGTTGCGCAACACGCAGATGCAAGGCTATGGGCTATGTGGCGTGAGAGTACATGTTCGATGGTTGCAACGGCTTATGCCGGGTGTGATGGGCAATTTGCACGCCACGATGAGATGCTTGTATTCGACGGTTTAATGAAGGATTATACAGCAAATGGAGAGGTGTGTATTGATTAATTACTTCGTGGCTTGGGGTATAAAGAGCACTAGGAATCTTGGATCTCTCGCAAGAACAAGTGACATGTTAGGTTGTTCTGTGACATGTTAGCGTCCAGTGGGAATTTAGCTGTGACAGTTAGGATAGAGGTAGGTTGGTCAAAATTCTAAATGCCAGAGTTACCCATGTGATGTTGAAATAGGAAAATATTGATGCCACGGCAAAAGGTCAGCTTTGACTGGTGCCATGCCAACAAAACCTGGTGGCCTGGCCCTCCCAATCTCCTATGTTGCCAATGCCAATTGCTACTACAAGGACAAAACTGCAATAATGAATTTTCTTGAGCTTGTTTGTGCAAGAATCCCAGTATGTTTTTTTTTTTCTATCGAAGTCAACAGGTTTTTAGCTTTGACCTATCAGAGGATACCGTGTCCAGTGTATTTGCATTATGAATTTTCTTGAGCTTGTTTGTGCAAGAATCCCAGTATTTGTTTCAGCATTGGTAAAGGGTGAGATCACAAGACACAGGACTATAAGCCGGAGTTGATTTCAATCTATAAGGGGATGTCCCATCGTTATCTACATGTCACTTAAATAGTTATAAATTTTTTAAAAAAAATAAGTATCAAAAATGTATTAACATGTGATATATCACTCCACAAACATGCAAGTTTAAATTCAACTTCCACATCTCGTAACGAAAAAAATCAAATTTGACTCTGAATATATGTTAACTAGCTATAGTTTAATTTGTTTTTTCGTTGCAAGAACGTAGAAGTTGAATTTGAACTTGCATGTTTGTGGAGTGATATATCACATTTTAATACATCTTCTCAATTTTTTTTATTTTATTTTTTCATAACCATTTGAGTGACATGTAAATAACGAGGGGATATCCCCTCCCCTCGAGTAATCAAAATAGTTTCCCGACTATAAGCATATGCGTTTGGGTCATGGATGAGGCAGGGTGAGACGAGGCGTGCTCACCTTTGAGGGTGTTTGGTTCAGCGACCGGTTGAATGAGTTTATATCTGAGGTTACGTTTGGTTAATCCTTTCTACAAGAGGATCTGAAAGAGATTTATTCTAAACCTATTATAGTCTAAGATTATTCACCCTCAATCTACTCCATTCCCTTTTACTGCCAATTGACCAAACAAGACCTAAAAGAGAATACTCCTTTAATCTAGGTTGGTCTTGTCTCTTACAAACTCATGGATCGATTCAAATTAGTTTTCTCTTACTGACATATGGGTCATCTCTTAAAAACAAGACTATCTCATACGAAAAGGATAAATGGTTACATCCAATTAAAAACATATATGAGTACTCTAACCTGTTTCCCTTCGTCTCCAAATCGAACACATGCTAGGAGAAAACACAGTGCAAAATGCCCAACCAACATCTACACTGCTTCAAACAGAATAAGTATCATGTTTTTTTTATGTGTTTTTTTAGTGTATTGGTTAGTAATATGCTGATAACATGTGTAACAAATTGAAGCATGAGAAAAGGTATAACAAAATAGTTCTTGATGTCACGATGACAAAGTAGTGTTATTGGATAGAGGGGAAAAATGGGAAAATACAAAGAAACAAAAGGTCAGCTCACGAAATTGTCTGCCTAATTCTGACAGTCCTTATCAGCATCCAACATTGCCCGGTCAGCTAAGAGTAACAGATAGCAAAAGCCAACGTTCCAACAAATGGCATGTTCTCTCGCATGATAAGGTGGTTAACGCCCAATGGACAACCGAGTTTTTGCTAGCACAAATCCTATCATGCCCTGTCTGTAACTGTAAGTGGAACAAGTATACGCTGACGGGACGATTTCACCGGATCCAGATTTTGCTGCTGGTGTCTTAGTTTTCAATTTTTCTGGCCGGTACGACGGTACGCTCGCCACATTTCTGTTGTTTTTATACTTTCGTAAGTTACAACCTTATTACTGCTTTAGAAAAAGGAGTTGGTGCCGCTGGTATACCGTCCTCTCCAATCTCCATGGCTCACGTTTAACCCTCACGTTTGGCCTTGAAATATGCTCACTTCATCTCCAAATAAACAAACAACATATCCTCGGCTGCGTTGGAGGTGGCGGCGGTTTTGCATCGGCGGCTGCTGGCGTCGGTGGCTGATGACAGCAGCAGCGGCAACGGCGGCCGGCTTGCGGCGGCCATGACTGAGGAGGCGGCGGCGACATCGGCAGATGCGGCAGTGGAGGCAGGGAAGGAGTCGGGTGTGAGGTGACGGCGGCGACAGTGAGGTGGTGGTGACCATGACGGTGGTGGGAGGAGGCATGGCGGCCTCGGACGGCTTGCCGAGGGCGTCGCAGACGGCTACATCGGACCGGCGCAGCATCGTTTGGAGGAGGGGTCGGAGACCAGCTTGACGCAGAGTGGCGCAACCGATGGCAGTGGAGGCCGACTCGACGCGAGAGGCGCGAGTAGCGGAGATGGAGGTCGGCTTGGCGTGAGAGGCGCGGCCGATGGAGGGAGGCCGGATTGGCGCGAGAGGCGCGTCCGGTGGAGGAGGCTGGCTTGGCGCGAGAAGCGCGGCCGGCGGTGGAAGAGGCGACCTCGGTGCGTGGTGGAGCTACTGGTGGGTGTGGCACGGTCTTCGGCGTACGAAGGTTGGCCAGCGGGGGGGGGGGGCATCGGTGCAGGGGCCCCACATGTCGGCAGAGTTTGAGTGGTGGTGGAGCATTGGTGCGTCAGCCGTGGATTCGCAGGTGGGGAGCGGCGGGTGAAAACCCAGCCCGGCCTTTGCCGGACCGACAACGATGGTTAATTCCCCCTCCTGAAGGTGTTGTCGTGCTGTCTCACCCCTCAAGGGTGGTTGCCGGGTGAAAGCCCAGTCTTGGCTCCTTTGAGCCCTGACGGACGGTGGCAGCGGTTTT